AACCAAAAATGAAAAATAAAATCACTCATACTTCCCCTAAAGTAATCTGTAAAAAGACCTGCTTGCTCACTCAAGCTCTGTGGAGGAGAGGGGAAAGAGTATCTATTGCTCTATGAGGCAGGGAATGTTACCATCTAACTGACCTTTGAGAGTCCATGAGTACAGACAGCTACACATATATTAGTCTTAGGGCTTGTTTGGCTACTTGGAAAAACTCCTTTTAAAGGTTAATGTCAAAAAAGAAACCCTCTGTTACAACGAGTCCCATGACCAAAATGGACTTTGAAAAGGCATGTCTCTGGAATACATTCTTTCATCTGAATATCAGCCTCGCATTTAAACTCCATCTGAAATGGGACTTACAAAAAGTTATGACCCTGATCCACAGGCCAGTGACGTATTCTGTTCAACATCGTGAAAGGAGGGTGTCTCTCTCGTAAACCCAGAGCTCAAAGGTAGGGCTGGGATCCACCTATCATAAAGACTGCCTCATACCCTGTTAACACTACACTATTCAACTGGGAGGGAGTTGGAGGGTGTTTCTGCAATACCTATAATGTCCTACTTCTTGATCTGAGTGATAGCTATACAGGTGTGTACATGAAAATGCATCAGGCTGTACACTTACGATTGGAGCCCTCTTCTGTACATGTGTCATATTTCTACTAAAAATTATACTCTTAAAAACTCTAAAAAAAGATGAAACAATTATTCAAGATAAAGAGGATTGCTACATAATGATAAAATGTTTAATCACTTGGAGGATATAAACATTGTAAACTTGAATACACCTAATAAAATAGCCTCGAAATATATAAAGCAAAAATTGAAAGAATTACAAAGAGAAAGTGACAGATCTACCATTATAATGGGAAATTTCAACACATCTCAGTGAATGATAACACATTAGGAAAGAAATAATAGACTTGAACTACATAGTTAAATTAGATTTAATGAGGATATACAGAACTCTACACTCAACAATTGGAGGATACGCATTCTTTGCAAGCACATATAGAATATTTATGAAAATCAACTATGTATAGGCTATAAAGCAAGCCTCAAAACTTAGTAGCAATCAGACTGTGTTCTCTGAATATTTTATTATTTTTTATTATTATTAACAAACACTTATATAGTGCTGATTATGTACCAGCGGTGTTCTAAGCATTTTATAATCATTACCTCATTTACTCTTCTTCACAACCCTATGAGACAGCAGCTGTTATTATCATCCATTCTATAGATGAAGAAACTGAGGCAAAGAGGTTAAGTAACTTAAGCAATTTAAGCCCAAGATTATACAGCTTGTAAATAGTGGACATTGGATTCACAATGAGGGACTCTAGCTTTAAAGCTCATGTTCTTAACCACTTTTTTATGCTGCCTCTTTAATCACAATACAATTAAACTAGAAACCAATACGAAAAAAAGTAACCTACCCTCTTCCACATTTGTAGACTAAGAAGTATATTTCTAAATAACTCAGAAGTCAAAAAAAATTAAAAATTGAATTGAAAAAATCCCTGGAACTGAAACTAGTCCATATCAAATTAGTGGGAGATAAATGTTTCAAAGGAAATGTATAGCTTTAAATAACCGTATAAGGAAAGAAGAGAGGTTGCAAAAATTCTAGGAATGTAAAAGTAATGTGTAGTAAGGGATCCGTGATTACCTGGGTGACAGAATGGGGTGGGGGGCATTGCAAGGGCAGCAAGGAGGGATGGCAAAGGGACACAAAGAAAATTTTGGACGATGATGGACATGTTATCTTGATTGTGGTGATGGTTTCATGGGTGTGTATATATGTGTAAACTTGTGAAAGTGTAGTCTTTAAACCATTTATTTTATGTCATTTATACCTCAATAAAACTGTTTTTAAAATATGCCCATGGGTAAAAACAGTGTAAAATGCATTCTTTACATTCTGCATTCCCCACCCACGACTACTAATATCTTTGAAGTCTTCTATGAGAGCTTTCCCAAGCATATCCATCTATCTCTCTATCCTCCAAGTAGGTAATAAATGTTCTGAATTTTGTATTTTTTATTCTCTTACTTTTTGTTTTATTTTTTTTACAATTTATTTTTATTTATTTATTTATTTATTTATTTATTATTTTATTTTTTAGTGAGGAAGATTAGCCTTGAGCTAACATCCATGCTAATCCTCCTCTTTTTGCTGACGAAGACCGGCTCTGAGCTAACATCCACTGCCAATCCTTCTCCTTTTTTTCCCCAAAGCCCCAGTAGATAGTTGTATGTCATAGTCGCACATCCTTCTAGTTGCTGTATGTGGGACGCTGCCTCAGCATGGCTGGACAAGCGGTGCGTCAGTGCGCGCCCAGGATCCCAACCCGGGCCGCCAGTAGCAGAGCGCGAGTACTTAACCGCTAAGCCACGGGGCTGGCCCTGCTTACTTTTTGTTTTAGTTTTATGTATTGCAAAGATATTTTCCCAGTTTGTGATTTGACTTTTCACATTTTGTGTCCTTTAATGAACAAAAGTTTTAAATTTTTAATGTTGCGGAATTTATCAATCTTTTTCTTTATGTTTGTGATTTTAGGATCCTGCTTTAAGAAATCCTTGCTTATCCAGAGTTCTAAACCCCTAAAAATGCAGAGAAACTGGATGACTCATACATTGCTGGTGGAAATGTAGAATGGTACAACCACCCTGGGACAGTTTTGCAGTTTCTTTAAAAAACTGTCCATGCAAATATCATGCAACCCAGCAATTGTCCTTCTGGGTATTTATTCCAGAAGACTTACGTTCACACAAAAACCTGCACAAAAATGTTTATAATAGCTTTACATATAACAGACAAAAATTGTAAACAACTCTGTGAAGAAATATATGTTTGGTCTCCGCTCCCAGTTCCTGACACAGAATTCCTAAAACCCTTGTAATTTCCCGAATGATAGAGGTGTTAGGAGCATCTTTTGTTCTAATATTTGGTCTTTGACTCTGGTCCTGACACAGAGCTCCTAAATCCCTTGGAATTTCCTGGGTGATAGGAGCATCTTTTGTTCCAATGAGGTGACTCTTGGTGGACTCCTGGATAGCTTCCAGGTGGGGGCCAATCACCAGAAAGACCAAGCCATGATTAGAAGCTTGGAACTTTCAGCCCCAATCCTCATCCTCCCAGGAATATGAGTTAATAATCAATCGTGCCTATGTGATGAACTTCCATAAAAAATCCCTAAACCATGGGTTCGGAGAGCTTCTGAATTGGTGAACACATCCATGTGCCAGGAGGGTGGCATACCCCAACTCCATGGGGACAGAAGCTGCTGTGCTCAGGATCCTTCCAGACCTTGCCCTGTGCTTTTCATCTGGATGTTCATCTGTATCCTTTATTATATCCTTTATAATAAACCAGTAAACATAAGTATTTCCATGAGTTCTGTGAGCCGTTATAGCCAATTTTCGAACCTAAGGAGGGGGTTGGTTGTGGGAACCCTCGATTTATAGTCAATTGGTCAGAAGGATGGGAAGCCTGGACTTGCAATTGGCATCTGAAGTGGGAGGCAGTCTTGTGGGACTGAGCCCTTAACCTGTGGTGTCTGTGCTCACTCTGGGTAGTTAGTGTCAGAATTGTTTGGTGTGTGGAAAAAAAACACGTAGTTGGTGTCAGAAGTGTTGTGAGTAAAAATACAGGAAATAAGTGTTTTCCCTTTAAACTCAGATGTCCTTCAGCAAGTGAGTGATTAAACAAACTGTAGTACATCCACACCACAGAATACTATTCAGCAATAAAAAAGAAAAAGTACTGATACATGCAACAATCTGGATGGATCTCCAGAGAATTACACTGAGTGAAAAAAGCCAATCCCAAAAGTTTACATACTGTATAGTTTGATTTATATAACTTTTTTGAAATGACAAAATTACAGAAATGGAGAACAGATTAATGGTTGCCAGGCGGTGGGGAGTGGGGAGGGAGGCAGTTGTGGCTATAAAAGGGCGACATGAGGGATCCTAGCATTGATGCTCTATCAATGTCAATATCCTGCTTGTTATATTGTAATATAATCCAGCCCAAAGGTTTTCAATGAAGTGAGTATGAATAGAATCACACTTACTGTATGTGAATTTAAACACACACACACACAACTCTGTAGGGATGGTAGGGTATGAGTGTAGGTATTTTCAAAAAGCTCACCAAATTATTTTCCGCTCATACACACTCCCTGATGGCCCCAAGGCTGTAGGCCTTTAGAGACATTAGACATGGAAGGGTGAGCAGGAGAGTTCTGTTTTAGGAGAATGGCAAAATGAAGTATTAGATAGGGGGGAAACTAGATGGGGGAAACCTTCCGAAGAGGCTATTCCAATAGGGCAAACAAGGGATGATGCAGATCTGTACTATGGTGCCAGGTGTGGGGACAGAGAACTGTTAGTCAGGTTTATGTCATGAAAAAGGAGCTTACTTCTCAATCCAGCTTCTTAGCTCAATATTGACAATAATCCCTAAAGTCCACAGTTGGATAAAGGATACATTTCCAGGTCTGCAACAAAATAATTACATGTTCTTGCCTTACAAAATGAGCAGGCGTCCCCACCACAAGAGAGCATCACCATCCCTTTCCTGGTGGTCCATGCACTTTTTGTCTCTGAGGCACAATTAGTTCCACAAGGACCTGATGAAGCTTTTATCAATGGCCTCACCTGCCCCATCTCCCAAGTCCCTGATTTTCCCTGAAAGGTACTTGGAATTCAGATTTTAAACCACTCACCTAGACAAGGCTGCTAAACAGGCTGCTTCTCCCCTAGTCTTGGCCCAACTTCCTCCCTGCCTGGAGCCCGGAAGGCATACCTGGACAGGGGCACAGCAGGACGCTCTGCTGTGACCTCTCTGGCCACAGCCTCTCATCAGTGAGTGGTCACCTGTCATGAGCAGTATTCAAAACCAGGAACCAAGGTGTGGTCTGAGCTCTTTAAGCTCAAGGGTTTGGGGTTTCCTGGTAAGTGCCCAGAGAAGAGTCCAGAAGAAGAGGATGGAAGGGGGGTGGCCTCCTAGTGGGGGATTCCTCCTCTGCCTCACTGTCAGCCTTCTGGTTCAAGGTAAGTTGGGGCAAGAACAGGCAAAGATGAGAATGCTGTTCAGGGCAAAATCCAGAAACCCTCTCGTTCTCCAGAACTAGAGAGCATCTAAAATAGCTGGGTTAAACATTTCCTGTCTCTGTAGTATCTATGTTTTTGGTTTCCTTTGGGGACAGAAAACCCCATTTCACTGATCAGTACACACAGCCCCTCTCCCATTTGCCTGCATAGGCATCTACCAAATTGTCTGTCCTTCCATTTTACCTCCTCTCCAATTCCACCCCTTTGTAATGTCCAACTTTTCCTTTCTACCAAGATATAGTAACTATGAACATGGTAGCTTGGGTCCTGTTGACAATAACATAACTCCTTTCCCACTTCACTTGGGAAGATCTTGTAGAGGAGGTGATGTGGGGGGTGTGGGAATGACAATGGTTTCTTGCCCTGATATATGTTTCTCCTTAGTTTGGAGATGTGCCTTATGAGTTAACTTGTATGGGGAGATAGCGGAAGAGCGATGGGAAAGAACTTGCTGGGCTATAGTTACAGGAATAACCACAGAGTCATCTGGGGTTGGGATGTGGCTGAGGCGGGCAGAAGGGCTTTTATGTTTCATTGTATAGCTCCACCAACCATATGGTGGATGATCAGTGAGATCTTCTCAAGATGATGATGATGAAAATGACTTAGAGAAAAATGGCACGGATCTTAGAGGACATCACTGAATTTGAGAAGAGCAGAGAGCACAGCACATAGTAGGTAGTCAATAAATTCACATTGAATACAACATTCCTTAAGTCCCTACGTATTTTCCATCACACTCATGTTTACTTCTCTCCAAACTTTTTGGGAAATGGGAAAACATGAATGTGGAAAGGGAAAATTGAGAAAAAAAAGTTTAGAGAAATTTTGTTCAGTGACTATGAGGAAGAATCGTAATAGAGCTAGAGAGAAAAAAGTATGGTCATATAATGGCCAAAACTGCAGAGTTGTGAGTATGGAAGAAATAGGACTCCCCAGAATGGCTGTTTGCATACAGATTTGAGTAGGCTTTATGAGGGAGAAAAGCACAGGAAGGAAGGTCTGAGCTCTGACTCAGCTCACCACATCAACTTCTACCATTTGCCTACCAGACCAGCCCATCCTCCCCAGCCCTGGAAGGAAGGGCTTGACCCTAGGGAGTCTTGGCTCAGAAAGGAGGGGCTCACATATCTCACCCATGTCCACATTTTCTCTCTCTGCGGAGAGGCTCTCAGACCCCAGCCCTGGCACTCCTCTCACTTAGGAAACACAAAAGCCCTATTCCCATCTCACAGGGCCTCTGTTCTCCACAGGAAGGGCAAACACTTTCACCATCAATTGCTCGGGTTTTGACCAGCATGGGGTGAACCCTGCTCTCTTCCAAGCTATCTTTAATCAGAAGGACTTCCGTCCAGTCGTCAACTACAGCATCCCCACCCGTGTCAACATCTCCTTCACCCTGTCTGCCATCTTGGAAGTGGTGAGTTCTGACTCCTACATTCTTTCCATAGGCTTCTTATAGGGACCAAAGACTCTCTACCCTGTCAACCCGACATTGCACTGGTCCAGTGGTGAGCAATGAGTCCCCTGAATGGATTTTGTACAAGTTGGATGTTCATCCTGTGGAGTGAAGAGACATGAAAGGGAATGCTGCAGTAACACTTCTGCAGAGAACATTTATCCTTGAGTACTGCCCTTATGGGAATATTCTACAAAAAATATATTCCCAATGGGCCCCTATGCTGTTTTTTCACCTACATTTTCCATGCAAACTGCATTTTTCCAACCTACCTTTCTGTTGGAACTCGTGATTGAAAGCTGAACTGTCACAAGGGACCACTTAGGAAACAAAGGCAGGAGGTAGACTAGGACTTGAATTCATGGCATTAATGATCCTTGATGTTTTTTGTTTGTTTGTTGTCAGAATGCACAACTTCAGCTGCTGACGTCATTTCTGTGGGTAAAGATGGTATGTGAATTCAGCTTTCTTCTCTTTTTCTCCTTCCCTTGTTTTTCTGGCTTTGTTTGCAAAAATCACGTTTGTTGAAAGTACCCAAGGGAATAGACATATCCAACCAGAAGGGGGCCAGCAATGGTGGCAAATAGCTTTCTGGGCTGCCAAACATCTTTGAAAGATATAGATGGAAAATACACAGAAGGAGGGCAGTACAGTTGGAAGCCCCTAAGTTTCAGGAGCCACCTGTATCCAGCACCCAGCTTAAGATTTCCCTTGAGTGGGAAGTAAAAGGGCAGTAAGACTTTGTTAGCTAGAGAAAGGGAGACATCACTAGGATAAGAAGAGGAATCAGAATTTTAAAGGAAACCAGGTCAAAAAAGCCAACTGCATAACAATGTGCACATTATGATTCTATCTGTGTAAATTAAAAAGAATGCTAGAATATGTATTAACTGTTTTCTGAATGATGCACAAGACACTGTTAATAATGGTACTACGTTGGGCATATGGAATGAGTTGGAGTGAACTGAGGAGGGAGAAGATCACTTTTTACATTATACCTTTCTGGAATGGTTGAAGTTTTATCATATGCCCATAGTCCATACATTTAGAAAAAAATATACACACATATGTATATATTTTTAAGGGAATGGAAGGGTAGGAGATGCTGACATAAACTAGCTCCAGGTTTCAGCCATAACCATCTCTCTGTGCCCTGTGCTCTAGATTTGGAATAACCCATTCATCAGCTGGAACCCTAAAGAATGTGGTAATATCAATAAACTTGCTGTGACAGCTGAGAACCTGTGGCTCCCAGACATCTTCATTGTAGAATCGTGGGTATCAGGGCTGGGGAAAGCTAGAGGGAAGACCCTTCTGCAAGGAGCAGGCCAGGGTAGCGCAGGGCAAACCCAGTGAGTGGGGCCACTAAAAGCTTATTGAGAAAGGAACACAATCACAGCTCATTAACTTCTCCCCTAGAAATGGGAAAAAGATGGCAGAATGACCATAGTGAGTACCATTGGGAAGCCCTGCTTTAAGAGAGAAACTTAAACTCATGTGAAACCCAGAGCATTTGCCTCCCTCCCTTTCTGCTGCTTAGCACGGATGTGGAACAGATCCCAGAAGGCCTCTCTGCATATATGACTCATAAAGGTGACATTGTGTATCACAAACCAACACGGGTCACCAGTATCTGTAGCCTGGACATCTTCTACTTCCCCTTTGACCAGCAGAACTGCACACTCACCTTTAGCTCTTTCATCTACACAGGTGAGTTGCAACAGAAGTTGTGGGTTGGGACAAATGAGATCAACCAGTGGGACAGCCAGAAAGCACATATAGGCAAAGTCATTTTTTTAAATGCATAAAAAGGGACAGGGGAGTATGTGCTAATTAAGGATGTGTGGATGGTGGTGTTGGGGACACTTGAACTTAGGAGGGCACAAGACTTCCTGAAAAAGCCCAGAATCAAAAGGAAGCAATTGAGCAGCAAGAAAGTCATGTTACATGGCAATCTGAAAAAGGTAACTGAAGCAGTTTTCTACTTCATCACTCTGAGCCCTGCACAGAGCAGGTGCTGGAAAGATGTGTGTTGAATGAATGTTTGTCTCCCCTGCAGCGGAAAACATGTTGCTGGGCCTGGACAGGGAAGTGTGGGAGATGGTGGACACCTCGCATGACATTGCCCGCACGCAAGGGGAGTGGGAGCTCCTGGGCATCAGCAAGGCCACACCGAAGATGTTTGTGGGCTCTCGTCTTTTTGACCGGATTGTGTTCTTTGTAAGCCTAGAGATTCCGGCATGGCTATCCATTCCCCATATCTCCCTCCCTCTCTTCTAAGTCCCAGAGCCTCTCACTTGCCCAAGACCAGAAAGGCCCTAGGAACAATAACCCTCACAGCCTCCCTCTCTAGAGAGTCTTCCAAAGCAGCACCCCTTTCTGAATCTGCCAGCTCCACCCTAGGTTTTCTTTGGTGGGTATGGGAGAGTCTTGCTAGTCACATGAATGCTGCTTCTCATCCTGCCCCAGAAAAGCCCCTGTCGGGGTGAGGACACCAAGGAAAGAAGGGGCTGGAACCATCCCTCAGTCTGCCTTCAGCCCTAGCTTCACCTGGCTCTCTGCTCGCTCCTCCCCACCAGGTGGCCATCAGGCGCAGGCCCAGCCTCTACATCATAAACCTTCTGGTGCCCAGCAGCTTTCTGATAGCCATCGATGCCCTCAGCTTCTACCTGCCAGCAGAAAACGAGAATCGTGCTCCATTCAAGATAACCCTTTTGCTGGGTTACAACGTCTTCCTGCTCAGGATGAACGACTTACTCCCTGCCAGTGGCGCCCCCCTCATCAGTATGGCCTCTCTCACTTCCCTGGGAAGCAAAGGCAGCAGGGGACAGGGAGGGAACCAAGAGAACCGGCTGCCTCTCCGCTTAAGGAGTGAAGGGGTTCTGAGGAATGATTCGATTTGCAGAAAGAGGCTTAAGAAAAGTGTAGAGATGAATCGGCTCTGGGTTATTTACGATTTGCTTTGCCCTCAGGTGTCTACTTTGCCCTGTGTCTGTCCCTGATGGTGCTCAGCCTGCTGGAGACCATCTTCATCACCTACCTGCTGCACCTGGCCACCACCCAGCCCCCACCCATGCCTCAGTGGCTCCATTCTCTGCTTCTGCACTGCACCAGCCCAAGGAGATGCTGCCCCACTGCACCCCAGAAGGGAAACAAGGGCCTGGACCTCACCCCCGCCCACCTGCCTGGTAAGAGAAGCCAGCACTGCCCACGATCTCTCAACTTCCCCAATCCCCCACTTCTCTAATCCTGTCTCCTTCCCACTTCACAGCTGAGTCTCTATCCACTCCACAGGCCTGAAGGAGCCGGGAGAGTTGGTAGGGAAGGAACTGGGACCCAGAGAGGCAGAGCGAAATGGGGGCTCAGGATTGACAAGGGCCCAGCTAACTGACCTGTGGATGCAGTTTGGCTACATGATAGACACCTTCCTCTTCCGGCTCTACCTGCTCTTCTTGGCCTTCTCCATCAGCACGGTCATCGTCCTCTGGAACACCTAGGAGTCGACAATGCAAGAGCACCCAGTGTTCAGGTTTCCTCAGCTTCAACTGACCATCCCAGACCCTGTTCCTCTGCTCCAAACTGCATACACAATCCCAAGTACGCCCATGACCCCTGCTCCAGCGCTCCCTGGGCGTAAATAGAACCACTGCTGGCTGGCTTAGAAATGAGACTGTATTTCCAAAACATACTGAATGCAGAATATACATGTTTATGTTAGAAATATAATTTTTACCGGAAATAGTAGGCTTTATAAAAAATGACTACAAATATTTACCAAAAAGTAACTTATGTTACTGGTATAGAGGAAAGGGATTAAATCGCTTTTTAAAAATAGACTAACATTTATTTGTTCTTTTGACAAATAAATTGAGCGCCTACTACGTGCGAGAAGCTGTTCTGAGTGCTGAGGATACAGCAGTCAACCAAACTGACAAAATTCTCTATCCTCACGGAGCTTACGCTGGGGGTGGGTGGAGACTGACTATAAAGAAGATAAATGAGTAAAACATAGAGCACGTGCTAAGCGCCAAAGAGAAAAAGCAAATCAGGGAAAGAAGAATGGGAAATGGGGGGAGAGGGTGGCCAAGGAAGGGTTATTCCATGATAACTTCCTGCCCGGTTGGCTCCATGCGTGATTCCACCACAATGTGAGACGGAGACTGTTGGAACCCAGTCTTTCTCCCGAGGCTCAGAGGTTATGTAACTTGCCTGTAGTCATGCAGCTTTCACTATTTTTAGTTCTTTTTTTAGGGATAGGCTTCAGGTATGCATTCAATAAGTGTTTATTGAGCACAGGTGATGGTGTAAACAAATGTCCCTGGGTAAACCCCATTGGAGACTGGAGGGCGATTCAAACACAAGCTCTGTCCTCAAAGAGCTTGCGGCCCAGCTGGAGAAATAAAATACATGTGTTAAATAATTTCAATTAATGTAGAACACGTTTTTAAAGTTTTGTTGAGTGCCATTAAAGAGAAACTGTTGTAAAGTTCAGAGGAGAAAGGATTCTTGTAGATGGAGCAATGGTCCTCAATCCACATTAGAATTATCTGAGGAGATTTTAAAATAATCCTAATACCCAGGCCTTACCCCAGACCAATTAAATCAGAACCTTTGGCTGGCGTTGGTATGTTTGAAAGCTTCCCATGAGATTTAATGTGCAGCCAGAATTGAAAATACTGAGCTCGATGCTAGGACAGCTTCCTGTGAGGGAGGCAGTGTTTGGGTTGGACTCTGAAGGATGACTAATGTGAACAGATGGAGGGACATGAGGCTTGCTGGGACTGACTAGTCACAATATACCTCTAGGGTGACTTGTAGGCAGAATCACAACAGATTGGGTCTCATGGGGTCCATGGGTTTGTGTAGCAGTGGTTGAATAGTGGGATCCAGGCAGAATCACAACACATTCCTTCTCGTGGTACTCAGGTGGCTCAAGTGTCCAGAATAAACTCATAAAATTAGCTGCCATAAAGAGGCCCCCAGTAGAATGCAAAATGGTGCAGACACTTTGGAAAACAGTTTGGCAGCTCCTCAAAGTATTGAATATAGAATTACTATGTGACCTAGCCATTCCATTCCTAGATATATACTCAAGAGAAATGGAAACATATGTCCACACAAAAACTTGTACTCACATGCTCATAGAAACATTATTCATAATAGCTCAAATGTGGAAACAACCCAAATCTATCAGCTGATGAGTGATTAAATAAAATGTTATACATTCGTCCAATGGAGTATTATTTGGCCATAAAAAGGAATGAAGCACTGATACATACTACAACCTGGATGAACCTTGAAAACATGCTAAGTAAAAGAAAAGTCAGTCAAAAAGACGACATACTATACAACCCCACTTATATGAAATGTCTAGAATATGCTAATCTATGGAGACAGGAAGTAGATTAGTGGTTGCCTGGGACTTGGTGGGAAAAGGGGCAGGTGAAGGAAGAATGACTGCTAGTGGGCACAGGATTTCTTTTTGGGGTGATAAAAATGTTCTAAAATTAGACTGTGGTGGTGACTGCATAACTCTGTAAATATATTAAAGATCATCGAATTGTGTGCTTTACACAGGTGAATTTTAGGGTATGTAAATTACATCTCAATAAACGTGTTGAGCGACAACAAAGAATAAATAACCCCACCACAAAATTCTCTCTGCCCACCACCTCCCTCCTGCTTATTGTCTCATTCCAGTGCTCCCCACTGCCACCTCCTTGACTCTGATTCTTGGGTCCTTATATTCAACTTTCATCGGTGTCTGTCACTGGCCCTCCTCCACCACTGGAAGACTAACCAGGGTTCATGGACCTCACATCGCCACTCACCTGTCAGCTCTGCATGCTTCCTTGATGTTGACATCGTCCCCAGCTTCAGCTCAGACACAGCTTCCATCATCTCTAACCACTGTACAAAACCCTCACCAGTCAGACCAGCTCAGGGCTCCCTGATAGGAGGTGGGAATTCAGACATTATATCTAAGACAAGTACTTCTCACAGCCTTGGACTATTTCCCATGGGGATGGAGGAGGTTGGAGGAGTGCAATGAGTAACAGCAGCCCTGCTTCGCTTTCTGCAATTGAAGATGAAAATACAGGGCTGGGGCTGCTGAAACCCCTACTGGTTAGCTGGCAGGTGGAGCTCCTGTATATGCAGCATGCTAGGGGCTTAAATGAGAGCTTCTGCCTCTATGGACCGTCCAGTCATCTGGCCCCAGAACAGCAACATGGAATAAATGAATGAGTGAAGCATTTATTCATTTATTTATCCAATCTTTACTAAATTCTTCCTTACGTATTAGGCATTTTTTTAAGTGCTGGGGATATGGCAATGAATAAGACAGACAGGAGGAGACTGATTTTCTAAGGTAACAAACTAAATAAGATGATTTCATATACTGATAATTGTTATGAAGAAAATAAGGTAACAGACAAGGAATGGGACACAGATTAACAAGATGTTCCAGGAAGGCCTCTCTGAGAAAGCAACATTTCTGCCAGCTGAGAAATGAATGATGAGATAATGATGTGATATGCCCTGAGATGTGAGACTGATGTACTCATAAGGGGAGGTTAGGATGAAACATGATAGACAGGCACTACATTTATAGAAGTAGATCTGGGTAGCCAGGATCTTTGGATGAATAAGGTGAGAAATTGGAGGGAGAGTCCCATGTTGGTTATTTTGTTGCTATTGTGTAATGTTTAAGGATTGTGAGGGTAAGTTTACAATCCACTCAAAGAGTTTAGAACAGTATCTTTCAAATAGTTTTGATCAATCACAGAATCTATTCTACTCACCCATGCACACTGCCTCACTCAAAAAAAGAACTCGTGATAACATAGAATTGAAAAGGAAAAAAATTAAAAGTTGCAGCAAATTTATGCTAGAATTACATATGGATTTGCTTCCTATATACTATATAAGACAGTATGAGTTTACACGTCTTTTTCATTATAAAACAATGTCCTATAAACTTTAAAATATGTAATATTTTTATCACACTTGTCTTGATATTATATTACAAGTTATTGAACTAGCTTCGACTCTCTGAAAGTGCATCACCAATGTAGCGTCACCACACAAGCAGATTTTAGGGGAATTGGTATACGTCTACTTTAACAATAAGGTAGAGATACCCAAACCACAAAGCAAAACGACTTTTGATGCAAATATGCATCAAAACACCCTGAAAGGGGAATCCAACAACCCACACAACATTGAATAGATGATGATGAAACAAGGTAGCAGTTTATTATTAAAAAGCATGAATAGCACCTCAACCACCTCAGGTAAATGCACTGATAAAAAACCCTGGAAATTGAGAGAATTCCAACAGTCCCCCTGTCTGCTTTCAGCAGGAGATTTGTGACTTTCTCAAAGGCTACAGGATCTTAATAGAATGCCAAATTTGAATCTCAAGGACACTTGAGTAATGTGCAAATTTTAGTTTACAAATGCCTTGTTTTAGCCATCCTGAATTAGCAGGTCCTTAGTGCCAGGTAAAGCTGAAAGGAAGACCTGAAGAAAGGACTTGGATCTGTCAGCCCTTCAGGAGGCCCTCACCACCCTGTAGTGGGGACCCTACTTAGACCCCTCTGAGATCGTTAGTGACTTTAAGATATGTGCAAAAGAGCATACTATGCGTAGTGTACCTGCATTATACATATTTTCCTGACTAAAATTTGGACACGTTGTCAGATTTTTTTTCTGATTTATAAAATCATTTATATGAACATCCTTATAAAAATCTATAAATAAAATTATGTTCATAGACAGTGAATTGCCTTTATTAAAAAGCAAAGTTACGTGAAAAGAAATATGAAAGTTACAAAGAAAACAAAGAACATGTATCAACTAACATGCACCTGTGGTTTTCATCATCGATTGACCTCCTGTTGCAGTTGACGAGTTGATGAACTGTTATTCCAAGTGTCCTTGTTGAGCAAGAACTCGGCTTGTTTGAGTATTAATGGATCTGGAGTAAAATAGAGACATGGTGGCTTCTGCAGTTTTCATGAAATGTTGTTAGTTTAGGCCTTTCCTTGGTTTGGACATAAGAAAGTTATTTTAGGTCTGGCCCTGTGGTGTAGTGGCTAAGTTCACGTGCTCTGCTTTAGCAGCCTGGGGTTCACAGGTTTGGATCCCTGGCACGGACTTACGCACTGCTCACAAAGCCACACTGTGGCAGCATCCCACATACAAAATAGAAGAAGATGGGCACAGATGTTAGCTCAGGGCCAATCTTCCTCAGCAAAAAGAAGATTGGCAATGGATGTTAGCATAGGCCAATCTTCATCACCAAAAAAAATAAAAAGAAAAGTTATTTTAGTAATAATAGCCATCGTCTACTGAGTACTTTCTATATGCCAAGCCCATTACAATTCATTATCTCATTTGATCCCCACAACAAATCTATGAGGCAGATATTAACATTATTCTCTATTTACAGATAAGGACACCAAGGTAGAAAGAGGTTAAGATCCTTTCCCAGGATTACACGGCAAGTAAGTGGTAGAACTATTTTGAACCCAATTTTGTCTAACTCTTAATTCTATGTTTTAACACATTCAGGTCATTGCTAAGGAATGCAGAAATAGTAATAAGTCTTGA